ACAGTTATCAAGCAGGCCATGGGACCATTCGAATGACGGCTAGATAGCTCTAGTGGAGTCTTCCAATATGTCACAGAAAGGGTGCTATGTGCTATGTGCCCTGCATAACTGATTACAAAAGACCTCCAGTCTTGATGGACACTGATATTCCATCTCCATGGACACCAGAGCATGGATATATCCAAGAAAAAGAATCAGATAGTTGGGTCAAATAACTTCCTCAACAATTCACTGACTGGACCTGTTAATTACCAGGCCCATGAGCATGCTAAAAAATAAGTCCTTCAATCTGACTACCCCACATTGCACTGGATGGCTAAGATGTAACAAAATGTTGAGAAACAGCCCCTCAAATATTGAAAGAGGACATACATTCTTGGATAACGTACATAAATATATCACACAGGCTCCTCAAGACAAGAGAATAGACAAGATTCACTCCTGCCCCTGAGGTACCCAATGGTTGCAGAAGGTCTCAAATATACTCCTCAGGAGGCCTTGCCACCTCCAGATGGCAGAACATTATGCCACAGCATGTTTCAGTGGCTGATGAGGAAGTTTCTCTGTATACAATCTTGCCTTGGACTATGGGAAACACAACAGGAGCGTTCATCCAAGATTGGAACATGGGACCTGATGCACATTCACTCAACATAAGTCCTAAAGGAAGAACCATATCCCTAGACTAAGGGGTCAACCTCATAGCCTGTTTATGTCTCTTATCAATCTCAAACCACTGCCCATTCCCAACCCTACTTCCTTTTGTATCCCTGCCAGAAAACAAAACTCTTCTGATTCACTTAGTTACACTTTCAAAATCATTATTATCTCGTCTTTGGATCTCCACTCTCCACAACTATTTTACTGGACCATCACAGCCATTCCCTTTTTCATTCCTTGGGATAGTGGCTTGACCAATTAGAGCAAATCTGCTTGGTTTGCATGTAAACAAGGCTTGGTGGTTAACTGTCAGTCATCATTGAACTGAATCAATTTGCCAATCAAACAGTACTCTCTTTTTTGAAAGGGTTCCTTCAGCTCAGTTGGCTGGCGAGCTGGTTTGCAATGCAGAGTTAATACAAGTGCCTTGGTTCAATTCTTGCACCAGTGACAATTACGAAGAAGAATTAACCTTTTTCAACCTTTCCCCCTTACCTCAGGTGTGGTGGCCCTCAGGTTAAACCACCACTTGTTATCTCTCTCTAATGAGAGAGTAGCCCTGTGGTCTGATAAGACTTTGATCACTTTACCTTTACTCATTCAATGTAAAATGCTATATATGTATTGGTATTTATTTGAATGCCCTGATGACTTAAAGATGAAAAGCTTTGACAAAATTTGCCTGTTTTCAGCAATACTCAAGTTTTGTGCAATTAAACTGCTTCAATAAATAATTATTTCAAACATGTAACAACTGACAGGCCTCTAAAATTGCAAAATTGTTTATTAAGAGTTGAGCAATGGAGATTGTTCATCTGCACAATAGAGGAATTGGGAGCATAAACAGAAATTGCCTTCTTCAGAAGGGTCACTGGACCCGAAACGTTAACCCTGATTGTCTCCACAGATGTTACCAAACCTGCTAGGTATCGCCAGCAATTTCTGAGATAACAAGGTGTAGAGCTGGATGAACACAGCAGGCCAAGCAGCGTCAGAGGAGCAGGAAAGCTGACGTTTCGGGTCTGGACCCTTTCAGAAAATTTGAAAAGTCCTTCAATCTGACTACCCCACAATGCACTGGATGGCTAAGATGTAACAAAATGTTGAGAAACAGCCCCTCAAATATTGAAAGAGGACACACATTCTTGGATAATGTACATAAATATATCACACAGGCTCCCCAAGACAAGAGAATAGACAAGATTCACTCCTGCCCCTGAGGTACCCAATGGTTGCAGGAGGTCTCAAATATACTCCCCAGGAGGCCTTGCCACCTCCAGATGGCAGAACATTATGCCACAGCATGTTTCAGTGGCTGATGAGGAAGTTTCTCTGTATACAATCTTGCCTTGGACTATGGGAAACACAACAGGAACATTCATCCAAGATTGGAATATGGGACCTGATGCACATTCACTCAACAGAAGTCCTAAAGGAAGAACCATGTCCCTAGACTAAGGGGTCAACCTCATAGCCTGTTTATGTCTCTTATCAATCTCAAACCACTGCCCATTCCCAACCCTACCTCCTTTTGTATCCCTGCCAGAAAACAAAACTCTTCTGATTCACGTACAGTTACACTTTCAAAATCATTATCACGCAAAATTTGAAAAGTGCAGATGAACAATCTCCATTGCTCAACTCTTAATGAACAATTTTGCAATTTTAGAGGCCTGTCAGTTGTTACATGTTTGAAATAATTATTTTTTGAAGTAGTTTAATTGCACAAAACTTCGGTATTGCTGAAAACAGGAAATATTTGTCAAATTTGAAAATTTTCTGAAGGGTCCAAACCCGAAACGTCAGATTCTCCAGCAGTTCCTACTATCCGTCTCGCCAGCAATTTGTTTTTTTAATTCTGATTTCCAGCACCCGCAGTTCTTTATTTTTTTATAGAGGAAATGTGAGTTTTTGTGGTTGAGTAGCATCCCACTGGCATTCTATAATTTGTAGAAAAAAAAAATCAACAATGACTCTCCAAAATAAGTCAATGTGTGCACACGAAGCAGTTATTTGTATTTCAGGGTACGGTCAGGACTTTGCAGTGAGTTGCGTGCGCGAAGTGATTTCTTATAATGGACTGAAATTCGAAATAAATAACGAGCGAACTGCTCCTTACTGTATATGCATCTGTTTACTGTACCACTTAATCATATGCATACGTTTGCTTTTTTATGGGGTACCTCACCATTTATAAGGTTGATGACTAAAAAATCTACCCAAGCTTTGCCACTGTCATTTCTGCGGATTACAAGGGACACACCGGTTGAATAAATTTACTTTTGAGCTCGCGTGAATTACACTCATTAACAATACGTTGATGTGTCTGTTTTAACAAGTGGTAGTGACACGTTCACTTTGGAATAAATAATCCTGTGGCACGAGGGACAAATGATGGCTGCAAAATTGTCGCCGAAGAATAAAAAACAATCCCTTCTTATATGAGGAGGGGATTTTTTTTGGGGGGTAACACTCAACCTTCACAATTTTATCCCTCATTTAAAAAAAACTGCGCTAATGTTTTACCGATGTGAATCGGAAAAAAAAGCTCCATTTGAATCTGCAAATTGGAAGTGTTGAGGCGTGCGGATATTTTGCTGCAGTGAATGGTTTGTCTTTCCGGGAAGGAGGTCAGGGGGAGGGAACACTTCTTGAGTTTCTCCTTTACACAGCTCAGGAAATCCAACATGGAGGCCCTGAGTAAAGGCCGCGATATAAGCCTCTCTGCCTTGAAACAAAATGACCCTTTCATCTCCAGTATCGTTGATGTGACCAGCCAGGTTGCGTTGTATACTTTTAACCCAAAGGCCAGTGAGTGGGTAAGATGGTGTTTCTTAATTTCGTGCCGGGGGAAAAAAAGATAACCAAAACGGCAGCGATCTGTATGAATTGCTTTACTTGCCTGGGAAGCCTTTTGAAGTTTTCGAAAGGCGGCTATGTCTCTGCAGTTTGCTTTTGGCCCTGCAGCACAAATTTGTTCACGTCTAATATCTTGAAGGTCTGAGTGTTGAAGTTAAATGAGAAGGTAGAAACTTAACGGTCAGCATTAAACAGCTTGAAGACCTTTTATACTCAGTAATTCCATACTGGTTCATGTTGCATACGAGACTCTTCGCACCAGACTTTATCCTGCGCTATGAAACATAACCTTCTGTTATTTTCATTCACTTATGTTTAACCAATATCTTCCCTTAATCATCAATTAACATTACTAAAGTTTCTTGAAAAGGTTCAAGTGGCTTGAGACTAGCATTGAATTGTGATGTGAGTCCATATGCTCTTCTTCGGCCAAATCCTTCAGTTTCTTTGGTTAAGAAAAATCGATCGACCTTACAGCAGTTACTGTTGAAAGAAGAGTCCAAACTTTTCACCCTTTGTCCGTGAAAAGTGTTTCCTAATTGCACTCCTGCAAGGCCTGGTTCAAATTCTTAGATGTACTATACCTTTGTAATCAGACTCACTGACCAGTAGAAATAACTTCTCTGTACCTCCCTTATTTGTTCCCATTAACCTTTATAAATGGTCAAGAATACAGGCTTAATATGTGGTTTGTCCATTGTAGTTTAATCTGTACAGTCCAGGCAGCGTGACCAACTCTTACGAAATGATCGAAGGGACACTTCATCTGGGGTTGATGGAGTCTTCAAGAAATTCAGTGAATGAAAATAATGTGGAATTAGAGCCTGTCATCTGCATGTTTGGCTGCTCTTTGAGCATTTTGCCAACAGCCTCGGGTTAACGAGAACATGTTGTGACTACACCAAGCCACAATGGGAGTTGAAAGAAGTGACTGTAGTTCGTCTCTTAGATGACTACCTCATGAAAGGTACAGAAATATAGGACAAATGACGTCTCTGGAAATGCAAATGACCCAATTCTGTTGGGTCACTGAGTCCCTGAATCAATCTGGTAAAATCTATACTGCACTCCTTCCGAGGCTAACGTATCTTTGCTATGGTGTTACTCTTGAACTGCTTGCAGTATTTCAGCTGCTGTTGAATCAGGGCTTTTCATTACTGAACCATATTTGCCTATGTTGAAATTCATTTGATAATTTTGTTAATTCATGTGAAATTAGATACTTTATGCTTCCTTTTATACAACATATACTGTCTATTTTATGTATTCTGGACAAGCTTGGATATGTGGTTTCCTATCCTGCTAAATCAATAGAATATCTACCTTTTCATCATCAGACTCCTAGCATCCTGCAATTTTTCTTTTGAATTTGCTATGAAGTATAGTATTTGAGATTGGAAACATTTTTAAAAAGGATATTTGAATTTTCAGATGATGGTTCAAAGAATGGCTCAATAAGATTTCATACTTTAAAACTTTGTCACAATTGACTGAAATATATTAAGACTATAAGTTGCTGACAAAATGGAAACAAACAATTTTAGAGAAGTGTCACAGTGCACAAGGAGGCCATTATGTCTTTGAGTGCATTAATGAGCATCATTATAAAGTGCCAATCTCCTGCTTCACCCCTGCCCCGTGCAACATTCCACGTAATTGGATAGAAATAATCTCCCAAAACCCTCTTGAATATCCCAATGGAAACAGATTTCACCATGCTTCAGCTAGTATATTCCAGACCCTAACTTCCTGCTAATTGAAAAATCTTGTCCTTACTTCACCCTGGTTCTTTTGCAGGTCACTTTAAGTTTTTATACACTTTTTTGTTCTTGCTCTTTTTTTTTTACAAGTAAGAGTTGTTTTCCCCTATTCACTGTATCCAGTTCTCTCATGATTTTGAAAATATCCATCAGATCTACACTTCTTGCAGAGAAGGCTAACTACTTCAATCTACCCTCGTAACTTAAGTTCCTCATCCTTAGAACTATTTTTGTAAATAGATTCTGCACTCTTTTCAATGCTTTTACATTCTTCCTAATATGTGGTGCCAGTACTGTGCACCATACTCAAGGTGAGGTCTTAAAAAGTGTCTTGTACAAGTCCATCTCTTTGCTATTGAACTCTATGACCCAATTACTAAGGCCAAGAAATATGTATGCTTTACTTATTGCTGTCTCTATATTTGTCTTACCACTTTCAATGACTTCTGCACATAGGCACCCAGGTCTGTCTGCTCCTACACTCCCTTAGAATTCTACCATTTATTTTATATTGTCTTTCAATGTTCTTCCCAGCAAAATTCTTCTCTGCATTGAAATTTTTCTGCCCCTATCATAAACTTGTCAGTGGCCTTCTGGAATCCAACACTATCATCCTTGCATTTTACAATTCTTGCAAGTTTTGTGTTATCTGAAAACTTTTTGAACTTAACTCCTGCACACCAAAACCTAGATTATTTAATATATATTTCAAGAAGGAGTTAGTTGGATCTAGTTCTTGAGACTAATGGGATCAAAAGGTATGGGGAGAAAGTGAAAACACGGTACTGAGTTGGATGATCAGCCATGATCCTATTGAATTGTAGAGGAGGTTTAAAGGGCCCAAATAGCCTACTCCTGTTCCTATTTTCTATGTCTCTATATTAGGAGAGGAAAGATCGCAATGCTGACCCGTGGAACTGCATTGCAAATCTTCCTCCAACCCCCAAAAAAATCCATTGACCATAACTGTCTGTTTCCTACCGCTCAGCTGATTGTGTATTCACATTGTTACTGTCCCTCTTATACCATGATCCATAATTTTCCCCTCAAATCTGTTGTGTAGCACCTTATCTAACACCACCTGAAAGTCCATACATGCATCAACAGCATTAATCTCATTGAACCTTACTGCTACTACTTCAGAAAACTCCGTCAAGTTAGTTAGACATGATTTGCCCATTCTTCTGTAGAATCTACATTCCCATTGTGTACTTAGACCTATTATACTCTCCAGGGAAATACAGTCCTTTGACAAGTAGTCAACAGTTTATTCAGCTTCCAATGGGTTCATATCCTGTTTTCTTGAACAAAAACATTTAGATTACTGTCTCTAAATGCTTTGCCCATTTTTTTTGTATGGGAGCTTGTTAAAGCTACTACTGGAAGCAAAGCCTCTTTGATGCTGCTTCCCGCAGCATAACAAATCTCCTAGGATTTGTAGAAGGCTGCAGAATGTGCCTCTTCAAATAGGGACCATCTCTCTCTCTCTTGCATCCAGCTGTGATACCTTGCAGAGTCAAGCAGCCTTTTCTCTCTGACCAACAAGATCCTTTACTGTCGGTTATGATCATTGAGCTGTAAAGAAGCCTATTACCTGGTAGCAAAAAATATCTTTCTCTGCCCTCCTTCCCATGTGAACAGGAAACATGTTAACGTTGCATCCAGGCAGTACAGCTAATTAGCTATCTTATCCAAGATCCTTTTCCATATGAAAAAATATATGGACAACCTACAGCACAACTATTTATAACTCTACCTATGTTTCTGGGACTTTGGAAGACTGAGTTATTGGGGAAAATGGAAAAGAAGTGTCCTAAAGACTACAATCTGATTAGCCTTGGTCATATTGACTAGCATAACTGGCTTGAAGGCCAAATGGTGTATTTACTCCATATATCGTGTTCTGTCCCATTCTCTCATCTTCACCCAAATTGCTATACTGCATTGTTTCCTTGATTATTTTTAAAAAATATTTCTTAAACTTTTCTTCAAATAAACCTCCCACCACCACCAACCATCCTTTTAGTTTAAAGCCCTATTTGTAGCCTGAATTATATAATGTGCTAACTGAATGAAGCAATTGACACGTGGAACAGATGTGTCAGTGGAGGCAATGGCCTGGTGTTATTATCGCTAGACTGTTAATCCAGAGACCCAGATCATGTTCTGGGGACCTGGGTTCAAATCCCGCCACGGCAGATGGTGAAATTTGGATTCAATAGATATCTGGAATTAAGCATCTACTGATGACTGTGAATCCATTGTCGATTGTTGGAAAAGCCCATCCGGTTCACTATGTCTTTCAGGGAAGGAAACTGCCATTCTTTCCTGATCTGGCCTACGTGTGACTTCAGACCCACAGCAATGTGGTTGACTCTGAACTGTCCTCTGGGCAATCAGGGACGGACAATAAATGCTGCCTGGACAGCGAAGCCCCCATCCCTTGAATGAATAAAGGGTTTCCAATTACTTGTTAATTGCAGGCTAACCATTTGCGATTCATGCATCAGGACACCAAGACCCCTCTGTATCTCGGAGCTCTGTAAACTCTCGCCATTTGGATAAGTTGCTGTCAGATCTCACAGAGCTGCTGATATTAAAAAAAACATAAAAGTTGCAATTAAATGAACTTGACCCCCTCCTCCCACCATCGGGGCCCAATAATTACCACTCCGTTCCCTGCCCATTTTTCATGGGGCTCATTTAATCCTTGTGCTGTGTGATGAGCCTCAGTAGAAATCTTCCAAATCTGAAGGCCATTTGGTGTAGAGGGAGGTCATGTCAACTTTGAGGGAAATTGCAATTTTATTTGACTTAACCTGTGAAAGATTCTTTATTGAAAGAAGACTTGTGGATTTATTGTTTCCATTTCTGTTCCCAGTTTTTAAGTAATAAACAAATTGGAGTAGCTGGGATTGCTTTGCTGAGGAAAGTTTGATCTCGGTGATTGAAACATTGAATGGCCCAGGTACAGAAAATGGAGGAAGATTTCCAATTCGCAGAAGGGTCAGAACAGGATGTTAGTGTAAAGTTACTGGCAAAAAAATACCGACAGTAAGATCCTGAACGTAACACCTGAGAATGTAGTGGAGGCAGATTCAAATGTGTTTTCAAAAGTGTTGAGAGTAGCTAATCTATAAATTGCACATTTTAGACTATAACTCTGGGGTTTTGTGGATTAATGTTTTAACTTGTGGAAAATGGAGCTATCTGGTTGAGAACTAGGTAAAATCAATCCTGAAGTAAATTCAAACAGGCTTAGAATTTATTATACTTAAGATCAGGGCTGTTGTAACTTTGGAGGTGAACAGCTAGAAATTTAAAATCATAAACAGCAGGTGGGCATAATGAAAGAACTGGAGACATGGGACTGAGGGCTGTTTTGGTACATTGGTAATGTCCCTACCTGTAGACCAGGAAGCCCAGTTTCACGTCTCACATGCTGCAGGGGGACGTATAAATATTTCAAAACGGGTTGATTTTTAATAATGTTGAGACAAGGGACTGATGTTTTTGAGGAGTGGCAGTCATATGTGGACTGGTATTACATTTCACTTTTATGTAACAAAAGAACTGGGGAAAGAAGGAATGGTGGGGTGGATGTCAGGGTTAGACTGCACGGTGTGAGTACTGCAGTGTAAAAGATAGTCTTTAATTTCCCAATCAATTCCTTTTAGGGTCTATTGCATTGGGTATTCCACAGTGAACCCATGTGTCACTTGCCTCCAGGCTGCAGAAATAACAATATGGCCATTGAAAAATCCTGGCAATGATGATTGTAGTTATTGCACTAATTGACAAGTTATTTATGTAATTGCCCAGATTTAAGACATTTCTGCATATGAAAAGGAAATTAATTTGCATTTATTATCAAGAAACTGACCGTTTGTGTTTCATGGTCTTTGAGATGCATTGAATAAAGAGAAACTCTTTGTTTTCAGCTATTTCTAAATTCAGTTTGGCCGGACTTGGCAAGCAAGACTGGCTGTGTTTGATAAGGCAGCAAAGAGACTGTCACCTTTGTGTCTTCTGTCGCTTGTAGTTTCTTGGTTGTCCATAAGAGGTAGAAGTAGAAGTAGGCATTTAGTCCATCAAGTCTGCGCTGCCAATTCAGTAAGATCATGTCTAATCTGAGAGTCCTCAACTCCACTTTCCTGCCTTTTCCCCATAACCCTTATTACTGATTTAAAAATCAACTTCATCAGCCCTCTGCAATGAAGAATTCCACAGATTCACTACCCTCTCAGAGAAGAAATTTCTCTTTTATTACAATCTTAGATTTGTGACCCCTCAGTCTGAGATTATGCTCTCTGGTCCTAAACTCTCCCAGAAAGGGAAACAACCTTTCAGCACTTACCCTGGCATGTCCCCTAAGAATCTCATATATTTCAATGAGGTCACCTGTCATACTTCGGTGTTCTAGTGAGTACAGGCCCAGTCTACTCAATCTCTGCTAGTTAGACTATCCCTGTATGCCTGGGATCAGCAAAATCAACCTTCTCTGGATTGCCTCCAATGCCAATATTATCTTTCCTTCAATAAGGAATCTAAAATTTTTCAGTATTCTAGCTATAGTCTGACTACTTCTTTCGTATAGTTTTAGCAAAACGTCTTTATTTTTAGACTCTGTTCCCTTTGAAATGAAGGCCAGCATTCTTCTTGCCCTCCCTATTACCCACTGAACTTATGCTAGCATTTTATGATTCATGTACGAGGACTCCCAAATCCATCTGTTTGTAACTTTCTGCAGTCTTTCTCCATTTAAATAATATTCAGCTCTTCTAAATTTCCTGCCAAAGTGCATAACCTCACATTTCCCCACACTATATTCCATCTGTAAAATTTAGGTCCATTCACTTAACCTGTGTATATCCCTCTGCTGACGCTTTCTTTTGTGCCATCGTTACTGCTTGCCTTGCCATCTATTTTTTGTGGAATCCACAAACTTGGCTATTGTATGAGATAACACCAGACCACCTACAGCTTAAGTAGTATAAATACACAATCGATAGTCCATGCTGTAGCCTGCAATTTGGAGCTGATATTCTCTATAAGCTAAAATTGGCAAAAGGTAAAACAGCTGGAATATTTATTTAGCCACAAGTTAATGAAATAAATCTGCTGAAATCCTTAGTAAAAGTCACTTAACCTTTATTGTAACTGGAATTCTGCTGGAAGTAATCAACTTCATTCCTGTTTGAAACTATAGGGGACCAAGGAGTGTTCTCTCTAATGTTTTAAGCCACTAGTGGAGGCTCAGGGTGGTCAGTACTGGAGTTTTGGAATCCAGAGTCATGAATTCAAGAATTAATAGCAAGACTTCCATAACATCTTTTGAATTAATTCCACAAAAAGTAAATGAACCCTGTGGAGTTTGTACAAGAAGGGAACTCTTTACGATTGAAAGTAGAACTGAATTTGCAGCGTAAGTCCAAATAAGCAATTGGGTTGATGTGATAGGGCTTAATTTGTTGAATTCTTTCTGATTTATAATGCAGTTTGATTTTATTAAACAAGTGAAATGTTGTGGTGTAGTTTTACCACTTAATTACTGGTAGTTGGATTCCTTATTTAACTGTTGATGGTCCTGAAAGGATCATTAGCAGAAGAGAATTGGCTAAGTATCTGAAGGGAAACAAAGATTTCACAGCTATGTGGAAAGGATTGTGGAGTGAGATTAGCTGATGCTCTTGCAGAGAGTTGGTGCTAACATAACTAGCTAAATGGCTATCTCCTGTGCTGCAACTGTTCCATGATTCTATTGTGATCTTTTTTAATCCATCCATTGAGTGGTTTTCTTTCAATTAGAAGCTTGGTGGGGCAGGCTGACAACATCATCTTGGCTGCTGTCAAAGTCTGCACCATGATTACTCTTATTATTGTTTTGAAAGGGTGAACTATCATGCTGCACCTAGTACAGAGAACAATACTGCACAGGAACGACCCCTTTTGGCTCTCCAAGCCTGTGCTGACACATTTTGCCCTTCCATACTAATCTTGTCTTCACTTACAGAATCCACATCCCTCTATTCTCTTCCTATTCATGTATTCGTCCAGATGCTTCTTGAATCCTGCTATTGTGTCTGCTTCCACCACCTCCTTTGGCAGTGTGTTCCAGGCATTCACTGCCCTTTGTGCGGAAAAACTTGTGGACCTACATACCTAGATCCCTCAGCAAAGCAGTACTGCTAAGGGTTCTGCCATTTACTGTATAATTTCTAACAGTACTTGACCTTCCAAAATGCATCACCTCACATTTGTCCGGATTAAACTCCATCTGCCATTTTTCCACCCATATCTCCAACTGATCTATACCCTGCTGTATCCTCTGACAATCCTGCTCACTATTGGTAACTCTGCCAATCTTTGTATTGTCTGTAAACTTACTGATTTGACCAACTACGTTTTCCTCCAAATCACTTGTGTAGATCACAAACAGCCCAGGTCCCAGCATGATCACTGTGGAACACCACAAGTCACAATCGTCCATTCCAAAAAGCATCCTACCCTCTGCCTTCTATGACTAGTAGTCTGCAGAAAAGTAGTAATTCTCATAATTGAGAGGAATTCAACTTGAATTAGTAGCTGTTAAACCAGAGCTGTAATCTAATTTCCTGAGTTTTGAAGAATTTCTTGGGTAGTTCACAAATTTACAGTATTAAGCACTGCAATGCAAGAGGCAATTTTTACCTTGCCGTTGGATGGTTTAACTCTTTTTTTTTTTCTTCTTCTTCTTACACAGGAGAAGACTGATATAGAAGGTACTTTGTTTGTCTATACCAGGTATGTTTTTAAATACAACTTGCAGTGAACTGTGTTTCAAGATGTACTCTTCTATATCCCAAAACAGGACAACACATTTTAGAATCATTTAACCAATGATATATTTCAATACCACTCGCTGACCTGGAAGGACAAGTCAAGAATGAAAATTGTCTAGTAATGTATTTCAGAACCATATTAAATGTAACGATTAAGTGATCTACTTTTAAACACCGTAATCAACCGTTAATGTTGCTCAGTGACTATGTTCAGTGCTCCAGTTTCAACCAGTGAAGGTGATTAGAAACAGTCGTGAGACCAAATAATCTAGGTAGACCATTCAAAGCAATACTGAAAGAATGCTGCTTTGTCAAGATGCCACTTGTTTCAGCCAACTTGTGTGAATGTGAATTATTACTGGTTCAAGAGGAGCTGGGGAAGTGTCCTGACTAGCATTTATCACTCGACTAATGTCTTTAAACAGGTGAAATTATTATTTATTTCAGTGCTGCTTTGGATGTGGTTATATAAGATGTGGTTGCTTTATTTGCCTATGCAATGGCAACAAGTAGTTATTTGACTTGAAAACACTTTTTGGGCTTTTATTAGAGAAGTAAGTGTGACACTCATTGCAGCAAATGCCATATTTAGGAACAGCATGTCGTAATGTTGTCCAATCAAACTGAAATAAGTCAAAATGACTAACAAAGCTCCAACAAAGACAAAGCATACTTTGCCATTAAACTAAAATGTAGTTATCAGTGTTTACAAGACTATCTATACCATGTGATGCCTATGTGTCATGGACATGCTGAGGATGTGGAAAATATCATTTGCTGCTTTTTTGAGAGGGAAAGAGATAATTAGGGAACAAAATTTGTTGTTCTGAACTTTGATCTACTAAAGTAGGTATAATGAACAAATCAGATGGCATGTAAACTTTTGCTTCAGTTGTAAAATATGAGTGCATTATTTCAAACTTTTTTCTTTCTTGTTTAGGCACAGCCCTAAAGTCATTCAATTTGCTGGCCATCCATAAACAATAATTATAACTTCAAGAACACTACAGATTTTCCAAATTCATTTTCCATATTGCTGATACTTTTGCCATTTTGTGGTACTAGTTAGCTTATAGAGTCATAGAGGTGTACAGCACAGAAACAGAGCCTACAGTCCGACTCGTCCATGCCAAACAGATATCCTCAATTAATCTAGTCCTTTTTGCCAGCATTTGGCCCATATCCGTCTAAACCCTTCCTTCGTATACCCATCCCGATGCCTTTTTAATATGTTGTAATTGTACCAGCCTCCACTACTTCCTCTGGCATCTCATTTCATACACACACCACCCTTTGTGTGAAAAAGTTGCCCCTTGGGTCCCTTTTTAAATCTTGCCCCTCTCACCTTAAACCAATGCCCTTTAGTTTTGGACTCACCAACCCTGGAACAAGACCTTGTCTATTTACCCTATCCGTGCCCCTCATGATTTTATAAATATCAAAAAGGTCACCCTTCAGCCTCTGACACTCCAGGGAAAATAGCCCCAGTCTATTAAGCCTCTCCCTATAGCTCAAACCCTCCAACCCTGACAACATCTTTGTAAATCTCTTCTGTATCTTTTTCAATTTTCACAACGTTTCTCCTTCCCATAGGAGGAAGACCAGAATTGCACGCAGTATTCCAAAAGTGCCTTAACCAATGTCCTGTACAGCTGCAACATAACCTCCCAACTCCTATACTCAATGCACTGACCAGTGCTCTGAACTTGCACTCCAACATCTTTGTTCAGGAACATGCCCCAGGACCTTACGTTAATTGTATAAATCCTGCCCTGATTTGCCTTTTCAAAAAGCAGCATCTCATGTTTATCTAAATGAAACTTTATTGGCCAATCCTCAGCCCGTTGGCGCATCTGTTCAAGATCCCATTGTACTCCGAAGTAACATTCTCTGTCCATTATACCTCCAATTTTGGTGTCATCTGCAAACTTACTAACCATATCTCCTATGTTTCCATCCACATAATTTCCCTTTGTCTTCCCATCCAATTGTAGTATCTACAAGCAATGCTTTGGAAATTGAAGAAGTCTGGTGACAATGTTTTTCAGCCCAGCTTTCTCACATCTAACTTATACTCTGCAGAAAATCCTTGGAAAACATAGTACAGATGCCAGTAACGTGGGACTGGTTAGTGCAGTGGGTGATAAGCTTCAAATTTGGTAAATAAATTATTTGACCAAATTAAAATTTATGATTTAATGAGAAATAGTGGTGTCTGTGGATAATTACTGTACGTCAAAAATTCTATGTGTGCAGTTAGCATGCAAAATGTGTAGCCAATTATAAAATTAAAAACATTTAACAGTGACCATAATTCTTAAGTTACTGATGGATAAAGATAAGAATAGTCCTTTGGTGAAAGCACTTAATTGAGGGAAGGCCAGCTACCACACTTTAGGCAGGACTGAGGAATTTAGATTGGGGGACAGCTGTTTGAGGGTAATTCCACATCTGGCATGTGGGAATCTTCTGGAAGGCTAATTGATTAGAGTTCAGGACTAGCATGTTCCTGTGAAAATGAAGGGTAAGGATGGCAAGATTCAGGATCCTTGGATGATGAAAAATTGAGAACATTTTTTTTAGAAAGAGAAAGGTGGCATATGCAAGTTTTGGGTAACTGAAGTCAGAACCCTTCAAGAATACAAAGATAGCAGGAAAGAACTTTTAAAGTAGTTTCTTTTATTTATTCATTCACGGGATGAGGGCATCACTGGCTAGGCCAGCATTTATTGCCCATCTCTAATTATCCATACAGCAGTTAGGAGTCAACCACATTGCTGTGGGTTTGGAGTCACATGTAGGCTATACCAAGAAAGGATGGCAGTTCCCTTTCCGAACGAACATTAATGAACCAGATGGGTTTTTCTGACAATTGGCAATAGATTCATGGTCATTGTTAGACTCTGAATTCCAGACTTTTATTGAATTCCACTATCTGCTGTGGAGGGATTTGAACCCAGGTCCCCAGATCATTACCTGGGTCCCTGGATTAAAAGTCAAGCAATAATACGACTAGGCCATTGCCTCCCCATATTAGGAAATTGGCAAATAGGATTAAGCAATGTGTTTCATACATACATTGAGAGCAGGAGGGTAGTTAGGGGAAGAGTAGGTCCACTCAAGGACAAAGGAGGAATTTACGCATGGACCCAGAGGAAGTGGGTGAGGTCCTTAATGGAAAGTTTGCATTGGTTTTCACAAAGGAGAAGGACGTGGTAGATGATGAGTCCTGGGAAAGGTATATTGACACTCTCAGGCATTCAATATAAAAATGGAGGTGGTGTTGGATATTTTGAAAAGTGTTAAGGTAAAGAAATCCCCAAAACTTGATGGGATCTATCTCAGAATTCTGAGGGAGGAAGATGAAGTTGCTGGGTCCTTTTATTAAATCTTGTGTCCTCTTTGCTCACAGGACAGGTTCCAGGGGACTGGAACATTACCAAAGTTGTTCCTTTCCCTTAAGAAGGGCAACAGGGATAATCTGGGAGATTACAGGCTGGTGAGCCTTACCTCAGTGTTGGTGAAATTGTTGGAGAAGATTCTTAGGGATAGGATTTACTCAGATCTTCAAAAAAGATGGACTGATTAGCAATCGGCAACATGTCTCAAACTTGAGTTTTTTAAGGAAATCACAAAGATGATTGAGGGCATGATGGTAGATAGACTTTAGAAGGGCCTTTGACAAGGTCCCTCAGGGCTGGCTGATAGAAAAGGTGAAGTCACCTGGCATCTGTAGTAGGTGGTAAGATGGATGTGGACCTGGCTTAGTCATAGAAGACAGCGTAGAGGTGGAAAGGTCTTTTCCCAACTGGAGATCTGTGTCTCATGAAATTCCTCACGGATCAATGCTGGGACCTTTTGTTTGTTTGTAATAATATATAAATAATTTTGAAGGAGAATGTAGGGGGCCTGATCAGTAAATTTGCAGATGACCCAAAGATTAGGGGAGCTGTCAATAGTGAGGAGAATTGCCGGAGGATACAGCAGGTTGGAGACTTGGGTGAAGAAATGGAATTTAATCAACTCCATGTGTGATGTGCATTTTGGAAGATCTAATGCAGGAGTGAAGTATATAGTAAATGGCAGAACATTGAGGGATTCTAGGCATACAAGTCCACAGCTCCCTGAAGGTGGCAATGCAAGCGGATAGGTGATTAAAAAGGCATATGGCATGCTTGCCTTTGTCTATCAGAGCATAGAATATGAAAATTGACAAGTCATGTTGAACTTTAGTTAGGTCGCATTTGGAATCTTCTGATCACCACACGAACAGAAGGATGTGCAGACTTTGGAGAGGGTGCAGAAATGGTTTACTAGGCTGTTGCCTGGTTTTGATGGTTTAAGCTATGAAGAGAGATTGGTCAAACTTGGTTCATTCTCAGTTGAACATTGAAGGAGGAGGGGCACCCGGACAGAAGTTTACAAAATTCAGAGACATGGATAGTCAGTCTTTTTTTTTCCCCCAGGGTACAAATGTCAAATACTAGATGCATACTTTTAATGTACAAGGAGGTAAGTTTTTAAAGGAGATGGGAGGCAAATTTTGTACACCAAGGGTGATGAGTCCATTGCCAGAGATGGTGGAGGTCAATACAACAGCAACATTTGAGGTATCGTGACAGATGAATAGGTAGTGAATAGAGAAATACAGACCATGTAGAGGTAAAAGATTTTTAATTTAGAAAGTCATGTATTGGTGCAGTTTTGGTGGGCTGAAGGGCGTGTTCCTATGTTGAACTGTTCTTTGTTCTTTTATTTTTGAAAAGATTTATTCAGTTTCACATATACCAATTTATCTTTCAGCTAAGTCCTGTTTCTGCTGCTGCAGAATAGAAATTAGGAGGATAAAAACAAATTGATTTCCTCTAAGTCTCAACGTTGCCAAAAACATTAGGTCAATTGTTCCTTTGTAGCATTTAATCAGTTTTTCTGTGGTTACTCATGTATGATCCTACAAGTAGAAAAGACATCTTCCAAAAGCATAACTGATGTTTTGGAGATGGAGACATGCTTTATTTGAGTAACAAATTTTGACTGTACATGGATTCTTTTTAAACACGGATAAGTACGTGACGATGTAAGGTTGAATTAAGTTTCTTGAAGGATTCTGTATTATTTAACTTGAACAAAAGCACTACCATCAAGATGATTTCATCCACCAACACTTAAGAATTTAGATCCTCAACTTAGTTGTGAGCTTAAAGATTGGTTTGATGTCAGGACGCACGCTGAATAAGAGAGTTCTGTTACACCTGTGTGTATTAGGACTTCAAAATATTTCTACTACAACACATTGAAGCATTTTCTTTCCATTTATTTGCATTATACTTGTCAGCAGTTCATGACAATTAGAACCTGCTCAGAGAAAGGTTGACATTTTAAGAGGCAGCAGAATTGGTTCTCCAATTAGAAGGCAAACTTTTGATATGGCAGCTGGATGCAGAGATCAAGATTATTTCAAAAAATAAGTAGTGGAAACTTAAATAATCTCTTTTCAGTTTTGTTTTCCCCAACTAGTAAAGTAAATGGAGGAAAAAGAGAAACTCTTTGGGATATTAGGAGTAGTATCCTCTTGAGGAAGAATGTTGCAATAAATTGTCCTAAATTTTGCAGTATTCTCCCTAAACTGCTCCTCCATACTACCTCCCTTCCTTTAAGATCCTCCACAAACTTGGTCAAAACAATAGGATTTATATTGCCAGTTCTAGTGCCTTCTTTTATGGTGACTATCAAATTGTGCTTGATAATTTTATGAAGCATCGTGGGATGTTTTCAAAATGCAATATACATGCAAGTCATTATTGTGAGGTGATAAATAAATAGCTCTGTCTTAAAAATGACTATTTCCCAATTCTCTCTCCCTTTTCTATAAAGATTACATTTTCCAAATAGTTTTATATTGCTGTTTTCTTACTGTTATCTTAATTTGAGGAATAAATTTAATAAGTGTCCTAACACATGGATCTCAAGACTTTCAAAAATGTCCAACTTGTGTTGTACCTCCATTGGAGCAATCCAACAATTCATTATTCCCAGTTCACTGCCAATGGAATGCTGCACCACCCAAAAAATGATGTATTTTGGTTGTGATATGAATTCACGGCCATATAAGTTTTCTTGAGATGTAAAAGGGTCATGTGACATTATTCCAAGAGCACAGATTTTTTTTCTGGTGTTCTGGACAATATGTATGTCTTTAAATGGAAATAAAACAATTTTTGGTTAGAATGGAGAGTATTGGGTAATTCCCTTGTCAGTCGTGACTTGAGAACAGATTAATAAAGTGACTTTAGTTCATTTTGCATGAACAATTTATTTATAACTATCTTTTACTCACTTCATTTTCCTGGAGAATCAGTGTTTGGATGCTGTAATTTCAGTCATGAGTTATGTTTGCTGTGTTTATAGGCATGTTTTTTTAAATGGATTGTGCTCACTGTCATGCTGTTGAAATTGACTATGCTGAGTAAAAAGAAGCTCTGCCTCATAAATAGACTTTACTTGACTTTTTTTCTGCAAGACCCACTCCACTTTATTGGCTGACCAAATATTGTTAGTAGATGCTGATGATTTATCCCTCCTCTGTTACCAAGACTTGAATTTAATGATTTATTTTATTGCTGTTTGTGTGACAGTGTTTACAGATTAGTTTCTGTTTCCTACAATACAGCAATGACTATCCTTGAAAATTTCTTGTCTGTGAAGTGTTGTCTGATGTCCTGAGTGTATGGAAAGTGTTTTATAAACGTAAATCTTTTTTGGTTTTTAAAAGAAAACTGCCTGTTCAGAGACTTTTTTTAGAAGTAATTTGCTAATTGGCTTACAAAAAAGTTTGTAATGTGTTGTAGATTCTTTTCCAAGCACTCTTTTTGTAGTCTTACAAATTTCAGCCAACTTTCACGAAGATAATAGGCCAACAAAATCTCTGCGGGGGAAAAACTGAATTGTGTCTTGTGTGAAGTGACATTAATGCCAGTGGCTTGGCACTTGCATTTTGAGTGTATATGAAGTCGATCCATGATTATAATGATATAGTGAAAAGCTGCCCCGTGGAAAAACATTTTCAGCTGCTTCATTCCCTGCAGTTACAAAATGCCAAGGTAAGTGGCTACTGCTCGATGGCTGGAATTGTTGGCTGTTAATGTAGGTGGTGAATTGTAAGGAATCAATTTGCATATTGATCCCCAAGGCATATTCATATACATCTCTGAGCAGATTTACTATTTTCAATACATTACTTCGTGTATGATGTTTGGAAACCAGGGCGGCAAACAAAATTATAGAGAGGCTGATGATTATTTGAATTATGAACCTGTGGTTGGTGGTACCAGAGCAGAAAAAAGGCAGGCAGATCTAATATAGTCTCAGAAAATGGTTTCCTTTTAGCCTGGTGAAAAAATCCTACTCATAAGAAAATAGGAGAGTCATGTTCATTTCTACAGGAATGTGCTATGTATTAATTAACAACATGATGTATTGCCGTACCTTTTTTGAAAATTTGATGTATTTTTAAAAACACATTTTTCACAGGTCAGCTTCTCCTTACCATGGCTTTACAATCATGAATCGACTTAACATGAAAAATTTAGTTGAACCCATCAACAAGGATCTGGAGTTTCAGCTCCAAGACCCATTTCTTCTCTATAGAAACTCAAACTGTAAGTACTGATCTGTTTTAAACTTGCAGTGCTGCTCAGAACAGTTACCTAACTGGTTTGCTCATTAATTGCTGAATTCATGTCAATTGCAAACAAAAAACGTGGAGTGGAGGGTGCCTGTCTGAAGACTGAGACATATTGGTAGTGAAACAGTAGAAGGAGATTTACTATGCATCTGATCGTGATATAAGTAAATCGGAACACTTTGATTCCGAAACTGCCTGAATTGGAAAATATTTCAATCCTCAGCGTTAATACCTTGTACTGAGGGGGAGAAAAAACCTTTTCAAATTTACACATTAAACTGTGATTTATAGTTTATCAGACAATAGGTTTTGGTATGTTATTTATGTTTGTGTGTAGTTGAGAGCTATCCTGAAGTATTTTTCAGATTGTTTCCTACAATATTAGAATTCTTCTATTTATTCACATATTTGTTTACACAATGCCTGCAATGGTTATCAGGTTTCTTGATTTTAAAACTTTCAAAAGTGGGTTTTTAAAACAGCTTTTTAATTTCAGTCTACAGTTCTTAAAATACACAAAATAAAAGACATGGTCCTTACAATCCTGTCCAATGCCTTCATATTCTTCCTCATGTGGTGTCCAGAACTGAACATGGTACTCCAGTTGTCATAACCTCCTTGCTTTTGTACTCCTGCAATTATTGATGAAACCAATATGCTGTATGCTCTACTAACCACTTTTTTCTAAACTGTCTTGCAACCTTCAAAGTTTAATGCATGCATACATCTAGTCCTTCAGCAACCAACACAATGGAAGTGATGATTTCTTGGTAGAAAATTAATCCAAAAGAATGAAAACCAATTGTTACTTCATGGCGTTTTGTTTGAAAAATTGTTGAATGCCTCCATGGAGCATTTGAATAGATGCATTGTACTCATTTCAATCCAGTCTACATAATACTTCTTGAGGCACAAACCAGTAAGTCAAAATGCATATTCAAGTTTCCATGTTCAAATGGAAATGGAGGGTAAGGCCCAGAAGAATGGGAACTTTGAGTAAAATATTTCATTGTTGTTGAATGAGGACATTTTTCACGACTGGTATGTTAGAAAATCTCAGAACTGTTTTCTATCAGTGAATCAAAAGTTACTCTTACTCTTTTTTTTTTTTTAAAGTAGGATTTTGTTACTTTCTCCTGATGTTTTAATTTTTGTTTCTCCCCTTGTAATTTCTTCACATGGCAAGACTGAGGGAAGAGGAAATTCCCTTAACTCCACTGTAGTTATCTTCTGTCTAAGTAAGAGGACGATAATTCAAACACATTACAGAGTCTTGAAAACATGATTATTTTCTAATAAACCTGTGCAGAAATGTTACTACACACCTCTGAAACAGTTAGGACTTCAACCCAGGCGTCCTGGCTCAAAAATAGGGATACTACCACTGCACTACATGATATTTCAGTGCAATTACGAATGTGTATTGCACTTTTTTAGGCTTGCACCTATTAAGTTAAACCTTAAACCCAAGATGGTCTCTTCAAATGAATGTAAAAGATCACATTGCACCATTGAAATTATTGTATTATTCCCACTCGGCACTGTTCCTCTGAACTGCTTAATAAACAGACCATCTTTAATTTATTTCACAGCAGTTTGTATGATTTTTCTGTGCACAAATTGAATGCTGCATCTCCCACAGAAGAAGAGTACTGTTCAAGAGTACTTCATTGGCTTGGAGAATGCCATGTGGTCACAAAAGGCACCATGCAATGCAAGTTATATTTTTGTTTCTTTGAATTTGGATTTTGTATGTTCTAACTTACCACAGGGTGTGTAAAATGAATGCAACTTGTTTGGGAAGCTTCTTTACCTCAGTGAAGAAAGTCCCTGGCCCTTTAATCATCCCAGAGTTGAATAGAAAACCTGACATTGCAGAAATGTTTAGATGTGAACCTGTGATCAGGCAAAAATGGTATTTTGGCTATTTGGCTGCTTTGAATTGGAATAATATCCTAATCCTATAAGGAAAGCAATTTACTGTGATAACTAACTAGGATCAGTTTGACAAATCAGTCATTATTTTGTTGGACTCTGAAACCATTTCTTATATCTTTCCACTTTTGGTTATTGAAATTATGAACTTGTAACAGCAAACAGACAGCAGTGAATAATTCAAGTTAAAATTGGACTAAATGTAACATGGTGATAGCTATTTTTAAGTTTACTTAAATGCCCTCACTTACATGTAAACAATTTTTAATATAACATGTGTTTATAAACGTTTCTTTCCTATTTTCTTAATTGGGAAGTAACTTCATTGCGATTTCTCATACTGAATAGCAATTTCTTTGTGAATTTGAGACAAATTATCAACTGTTCCTATGACCGTCATTAGGCTTTGAAAGACCATAAGACAAAAGAGCAGAAGTAGGCCCACTCATTTAAACTGTCTACATCCCTCTGCAGACTGTTATCCTCATCACTTGCCTTTCTATCTACTTTTGTTATCTGCAAACATGACTGTAGTACATTCACTTTCCTCATCCAAGTCACTAATTAGGTTGTGATGATTTCAGGACTCTTAAACTTCATTTTGTTCTAACAATACAAAGATGAATATGTGCTATATTATGTCTAGTCAAGTTAGAGCAATAATTTAGCTGTTTGACCAGATATAGTAGAAACGTTGCATTAATGAAGTATCCTTGTCTGTGAGGAAGTCTAAAAGAATGAGAATTGATTTCTTTTTCTGAATTGTTTCATGCACACTCTAGGAGAACATAAAAATGTCGTTTTTTTTTTTAAAAAAAAACAAAGAAAACTAGCAACAATTTGCTTGTCAGTTTTGCCACAGGATTCAAAGTGATGATTATTGGCCTCTATTGTAGCAGAACAATTATCATTGACTTTATTGGCCTTGATCCAGTGTACAGAATCCTACTCCCTGTTAATGGGACACCGTTTCCAATATAGAAATAAATCTCACACCTGTTCTTGGTATTGTTCATATACATTTGTTATATGAAGGACTAAATTAATGAGTTATTTAAAATAATCATTTTTTTATATTCATACCAACTTACTGAATTAGTTGTAATAGGGTCATGTCCATTCTTTTTAAACTAATGGTATTCTTCCACCTAAGTAGCTAAAGGATAACGCAGCTTTGTTCAAAACTTAAGTTCGCACGTTCCAGAAGAATTTTGTTGAGAAGACCTGAAATAATGAATAAGGTGTGGATCAATCTGTATATTTTTAATGTTGCTTTCCTGTCCATATGTTTTAGAAATTAAAACAATTTAATTTGCATTGTCTGGCTTTTGCAAATCACACTTAAAGGTGAACATAAGAAGAGGAGCTTTTAACAACTATAGCTTTGGAAAGTCCTTGCACTGTATTTTGAAATATTACGAACATTTATAAACTTCCTATAAATTTCAAAATCACTAAACAACTGTTAACCTAATTCAGCAAAATGTATTTATAGCACTGTAAAATGTTTTACAAGACACTCTAAATACATTAGTGATACAGTATTAATATTGAAAAGGATTAGACACCTTAATTTTCCACTGGTGTTAGAGTTATAGTGTCCCGATTCTGATGTCCATGAAACTGATTGCCAGATTTCAGACTTCCTTAGATTTGAGTTGCCAGTTAGCAAACACACATGAACCCACAATAGATTCTTGATCTGTTTTTTAAATTCTGTATTTTCAGCATGAGCTCCAATTTGACACTGTATCTATTGAGTTGGATCATGAAATGTACAGTCCAAGACAGCACAGCTTCTAAATATAAACATTTGAATACAAATGGACAGGGTCAATTGCATAAATGTTAGGAAATTCCCAAGTCTATCTGTACTGTTATTTTTAACAGATTCGGTTTTCAAATGGACAGATTTAGGATACTGTACCTGTGCTATTTTGTGATATTAAAAATATTAACATTTTCAAACAAGACAGAACGTGAATGCTTACCTGCCCTGCTCTTAAAAAATATATGGTACTATGTTGCTTTCACTTATAACATTTTCTCTATATTTGGCACAGTTCCTGACAAGGGAACCACTTTTTTTTTTTAAAAAAGAAGCTTTGAAAGATTTTTGATATTCCTCTTGTTTAAAGAGGAATCCAATATCTAAAGATTATTGGATCAGCGATGACTACTGCGAGGAAACATCATGTTTCCGTCAAATTGCTGAAGAATTGTGGATAGATGGAACTGTGTCCATCCAGCTACTGATAACAAGTGCAGTTTGTTTTGTTGCTTTATTTTTTTTGGAGCATTTAATGCAGTAGGTCCAGCTCAGTTCTTGAAAATAAAAGCCACTTAAGATCAGTAGTTCACTGTGAGTGTCAGCCTGTCGTACTTGTATCTTCATCCAAATGCACTTAAGTATAGCACAGATGAATCAGTTGCTTCAATCCAACCTCCAGTTATTGGAGACCAAAGTATCTAGAAAAAAGCTTAAATGCATGGAGACATGCAGTGTCACAGTTAATGGATGTCTGATTTTGAGAGATGTAGTGGCTGCTGAACTTATCAGTGACAGCAAATATGTGAGGCATTTGTAACTTAATGATAATGTTTATCCTGACATTGTTCTGGTCCACCCTGAGGAAAGTGACTGAGGGAAATGTTGCATGTAGAGTAATTTCATTTCAACTGATGTTGCATGCAGTCCAATGTTCGATTACTTTGTACTTTATTGGATAAAATTGGGCATGAATATCTAAGATTAATTGGACACTGACAACTTTTGCTATTAGATTTTTAAACTTGTTTTAACATTACCTGTTTGGGCTTTGCATTCAGGATTTGTTTTTTTTTCCCAGCCAAGATCTTAAGTTTGTTTAATAGTTAGTTACTTAGTTGTGTCACTTGTAATAGATGTATAATAAGGTGTGTAAATATACTGTCTTTAGTTGCTTCATACTTAGAAATAAAAGAACAACAATAACAAGCTGAAATGTGTACAAGATGGTGTGTGTATGTTCGTATCTGATCAAATGTTTAAAACTGAGGAATAAGGCTAAGAATGTACTAGCGTACAGATAAAACTACTTAGCATGCAGAAGTTTATTTTCCAAACTCTCCGATTCTAATTTTCAACGTGTGGAATAAGCTTATAAGTAAGAATGCTAATGGAGTAATTCTTAGTTCAGCCGTTGATATCACACAGACGACTACGTCCGATTTGCAGACGTTTCCATTTAGTCCCGTGATGATATATCTTTCCGTTCCTAATAGTGTATTTTATTCTTGTTAATTGCTTATACACTTAAGTAGGTTTAGCATTCGTTTATAATGATTCCTCCCCTGACCTTCTGTTCCCCACCAGCCCCGCCCCCCCATTCTTTATCATACAAGCAGGACTATATCCACCAATAATAGTGATTGAGAAAGCTAAATAAAAATGATAGTAGTAAATAAAAAAACTCCTCCTAAATAAATGATCTGCAGCTGAGAAGCAAAACCTGAAAAGAATGCTTTTTCCTATTCTTCTTTTCAACTCCATTCCACTGAGTTTAAATTGCATTCATTTGATTGGACAGAATTGAAGCTAATAGGTATCAAAATCATACATTTTTGGGAGATTTATACAAATGTCATGGACTCTCAGTTGGGATTGGGAGACTTTGTATATGAAGAATTGTGACTATGGATTTGTGCACCTCTGCTGCAGCATTCCTAAATACTTTAGTTGTCCTACTTTAAATATGTGCCTGCTTCTGTACACTTGCTGGGTTCGTACTATTACCTCATTTTTTTCATCAAAATGGAAACAGTGGAAGCATGAATTGATTTTCATTTTTTAATGATGCAAACATGAAAATTCAAAATACAGTTAAATAACCAATGAATGAATAATTTTAACATAATGCAAAACAGGAAGCCATGCAAATTATTGATCAGTCTGCTAACAGTGGCACGTGGTTCTGTAACTGATTATAATGAAAATATTTAAGTGTTTAAACTTAGTGAATTTCATACAACATCACAGATTTATATTCTTTTCCTATGAATAGTAATAGAACGTTTTCAATTTGCAACATATTTTTGAACCTTATTGAAACATGCATAGGAAACATCAAGCTCAGAAGAATGCCATATGGCCTGGATACGGAGAACCGGCAGAGATGTTTTCTAACCATGGCTTGTCGACTGAAATCATTGTGTTGTTTTGGAGCGTCTACAGGCAGATGACCTGAACTAAGTTGGAAGTCACTTAACAATTACTTTTTAAAAACACTAATGGCATGGAAGCATTGCCCATTCCTGTACCTAGTTCTTAAATTTTTTTATCATGGAGGTTTGTAGAATTAAGTGTGTCTTAAAATGAATCTTGTTGTGAATTACTCTAAAAGAAGATATTCTTAATCCAAGCTGAAGTAAGTGAAACATTTTTGAAAGTTTCAATTTTAGCTACACCCAAAAATGTTACCAAATAAACTGGTAAATAGTTGTGGTGACGAACACTATAATGTGATACCATGTTGTATGTATTCTTCAATAGTACAAGTAGAACTAATGGCAACCCTTCAGGACTGGTTGCCAGAAACAAAATGAGATATCAGATAACAGGCTGATATAGCTGGTGCCTCTCTTTAAAGTAATCAGTTCAAATTTTACTAAGTTGCCCATTAAGCTATCACTTATGATTACATATCTTTTGTATGTCTGTTTTTTTAGTAACCATGTAACTCAGATAAAAGCTTGTTGGGCCATTAACATTATGCACTGAAGGAGTTGAATGGAGAAGAAAATATTTGTATATCATTAAATACTAGCAGTTCTTATATTTGCTTTTTCCTCCAGTATCAGCTAATCTTAAGAATGCAATTTTAAAACATCTTCAGATAAGAGTTAGCAAATTGCTGTGATTGGGAGAATTTAAAATTAAGTTTTTTTTGTTTTATCTTTTTCATGGTCTTGTGATCCCTCCTCCTTGCCTAGCTGGACAGATGGCTTGCTGCTAAATCTTTGCCACTGATACTCATGCTATGATCACTAGATATCCAAGAATAGGTGGAGCCCCCCCATCCCGATGAAAGACTTACTATTGCTAATATGTAATATACCTCCATGGAAACCTATATGCCATTGGTCATGGCAATAAAAGTTAGGAGACCTACCTATTGCCCACAGTGCTACTTTGTTATTTCCACTCTCCCCCCCACCTCCCCACTCGTGGGAAACTATGGAGCTAAAGGCAGATAAGTCCCCTGGCCCTGATGGCCAGCATTCTAAAAGAGGTAGCTCTGAGATAGTGGCTGTACAGGTTGTAATTTTCCAAAAGTCATAGGATTTTGGAGAAGTACCAGAGGATTGTAAAACTGCTAATGTGACATAGTTATTCAAAAGGGAGGAGGCAAAAAGCAGGTAATGACAGGCTGATTTAGCCTAAACTCGCTTGTTGCAAATATATTGAAATCTATTATTGAGCAAGTAATAGAACTTTTGGAAAGGCATAAGGGACTGGAGGGTTTGAATTGTAAGGAGAGGCTGGGACTTTTTTCACTGGTGTGTCGGAGAGGGGTGACCTTTTAGATTTATAAAATCATGACGAGCATAGATAAGGTGAATAGCAAAGGTCCTTTCCATGGAGTAAGGGAGTTCAAAACTATAGGGGATAATTTTAAAGTGAGGAAAAAGATTGAAAAGGAACCTGAGGGGCAACTTTTTCACAGAGGGTGTTTGGTATGTGGAATGAACTGCCAGAGGAATTGGTAGATGCAGTTGCAGTTACAACATTTAAAAGGCATTTGGACAGATATATGACTAGGAAAGGTTTAGAGGCAAGTGCGACCTAGATTAGTTTGGGAGACCCAGCTGAGTTGCACTGAAGAGTCCATACAGCACTGAAATAGATGCTGACTCTCTAATTATGACTCTGTGTATGTGTCACTGGCTAGACAAGCATTTATTGACCTTGAGGGTGGTGGTGAGCTGCCTTTTTGAGCCACAGCAGCCCACGTTGTTAGGGAGGGAATTCCAGGGTTTTGATCCAGCTACAATAGAATGGTGATATATTTCCAAGTAAAGATGATGGGTAACTTGGTGGGCACGTTGCAGGCTGGGTGTTCCCACATTATCTGCTGTCCTTGTCCTTCTTGATGGAAGTGGTCATGGGTTTGGAAGGTACTTTCATAGAATCTTTACTTATCTAGTAAACAAAACAAAATTGAATTATTAACAACTAGAATATATGTAATTATCTTCAGCAAGAGAAGTTAAAGTTCTATGAAAAATGTTGAGGTGGAAAAATTGATTTATTTTTACTTTTCTTTTTTTTATTAGTGTCCATTTACAGCATCTGGTTTTATGACAAGAATGATTGTCAACGAATTGCACAACTCATGTCAAAGTAAGACCTGAAAAATTGCATGATGTTAAATCAGCTTAACATACAAGATGTTATTGTGCTTTCAATTTTAATATTCCATTCCAAAATTTCAAGTTGGGGTCACATTTATTTCGTACTGCCTTGGCATTTGTTAGTTTCAGAAATGTTCAACTAGTTCAGAATGCAAGTCTTAAACAAGTTTGTTAAATAACGGTGTTTTAATCCATTAGGCAGGGCTGAGCCAGGAGGCCTGGGTTCAAGCCTCACCTCCTCCAGAGATGTGTACTAACATCTCTGAACGTGTTGATTTGCAAGTATTTCCATTAGCCTGGGCCTGTGGACTGCCAATTAAGTGATAATTACCCCAGAATATCAATTTTCTCTGATCAGTATTGTATAATCCCTCCAAAATAGATGTTTATTTCATGATCTTGTCTTTACAGCACACTGATTTTTTTTTTTCTGTCTATCTGTACATCTTATGGAAACCAGCTGAAGAAATATCAAGCTAAAAAAGTGTACTTTTTTTCAACTTCATGTAGAAGTTAGTTAAGATTCATTTTAAAATTTAATATCCTCTGATTTTAATTTTGGACTATATAGCATGACATTTATTGATTACAGTAGTGTTTAATGCACCTGCTCTCATGACAGCTGTTGGCTTGTTCATTTAAGTTAAATCATATAGGATGGTCAGCAATCTATCTTGGGCTACTTTTTCTAAGTAGTCCAGAGTGAATTACATTTTTTTTTTTTCATTTTAATTAATCAAGATTTTAACAGCAACTTTAAGGGTTGCAGTGTTTCTCACTTAGCTTCAGATGCTAAATTAATCAGAATTCTACCGTTCAAACCCACCCCACATCCCCACTCCCCAGTATTGATTGGATTTGTTGAATTGAAAAACCTGGAAGAGCTTCAAATTTTGAAGTGGATTAGTAGAGTTACTATGGAAGATAAGATTCCAAATTGGATGTGTTTGGTATTGGATTTGAATAATCAGTGTTTTAAGAGAAATCTGTACTTTAATCTAATGTAACAAACCTTTGCTTGTTACGGTATCTAATATCAGGGTTTCCTGCAACTTGAGATTGTAAAAGTAATGAATTTTCTTTAATCTCTGAAGTCATGGGGATGAGAAATTAGTTAACCAGTGTTCTGATGTTGAAGAACAGACCTTTTTGGACTATCAGACCAGTTTGGTGCATGTGACCAAAATGTAATTGTGCAACTCGGAACTAAATGATAGAAATTTTTACCTCAACTGTGAAAACACTGCATTTTGTAGCTGTGTAAGATTCAAATGAATAAATTATAAACATTTGAATTAGGTTCATGCTGCAGGAGTCATCCACAACTAAATACATCTTTTCTGTAAATCTCAAACTCTGAAATATGTTAAAACTTTAGAAGTATATTTCTTTTACTTCAAAGACTGTGTTACACTGTTGGGAAGTGACTTAACTGAGCTCTCTTGAGATGTTAAGTACACTGCATCCGTGACTAATTAAGAAAAAAGAGAAATCGCCTCATCCTGTTGTTCCCAAAAGTCCACACGTGCACTTTGCTATCCAGGCTTCTGTTACAATCAACAGAACAATGCCTCCAATTCTCCAGTTCCTTCTCCTGCTGTGATAACCAGGTGTAGAGCTGGATGTGTAGAGCTGGATGAACACAGCAGGCCGAGCAGCATCAGAGGAGCAGGAAACCTGACGTTTCGGGCCTAGACCCTTCTTCAGGAAATATAAAGTATTTCTTCTTTTCTGAAGAAGGGTCTAGGCCCAAAACGTCAGCTTTCCTGCTCTTCTGATGCTGCTTGACCTGCTGTGTTCATCCAGCTCTACACCTTGTTGTCTCAGATTCTCCAGCATCTGCAGTTCCTACTATCCCTTCTCCTGCCGTGCTTTTTTTTCTTTGGAAGTGTACCACACCAAACTAAGTTAAGTTAAACATTGATCAGTGTTCAAATTTAGAACTTTTGATCAGAGTGGGATAATTTTTAAGTGCCTAAGTAATTACTTGCTGCAGTACATATGTTGGTGCCTCCTTTAGGGTAGTTCAAATGGAAGCACGGCGAGCCCAGCAAGAATCTCCAGGGAGAACCACTCCAAACAAGCCCAGTGGATACGATGAAGAAAATCCTATTGACATCTTAGACATGCTTAGTAAAGCCAAGGAAGAATATGAACAAGTAAGGATTTAAATTGTTTGTAGTAATTATCAATGACCCTGAATGTCAGTCATTTCACCTTTTATTATTTAATAAATAACGGTGGTTGTTCTAGAAACATCACTCAGCAATATGTAAATTCAACAAGAATTTGTACTCTACATATTTAAAGCAAGATTGATCACTTGGCTTCCAAAGACTGAGGATTTATAATATTTGAGTTTTTTTTTTAAAAAAGTAAACTTGCGAACCTTATTTACTTGCAAAAGAGCTGAGTATTTATATTATGAAAATTCAACAAATGGGGGTTATGTGCTGTTTTGACTGAGGCTGGGGAGTTCATCTTCATGCTTCCCATTGCTCCAAGACAAAATAAAAATAATTTCTCCAATTACCAAGTTGACCATTTAAATTTCTTATCTCTACCAGGTTTTAAAAATTTAAAGTCTATCAATCAGGTTTCTTAATAAATGAAACTAGTAGTTTATCAAAACAGAATGTACACAATGAAGTGTTCTGGTGTTGGCCAACGTAAACGTTGGTCAGTAAAACTAAAGATAAGTGCTCTCAATAACCCGAAAACAACAAACTTTTTCTGTCTGTCTTGGTGAATGATTTATTTTTGAAGGCAAAAGGATAAAGCATAGGATGTTTCAGAGTCTTGTTTTGCTGTTCTGGCACATGTGGTTACGTCACTAATTGTGCATCTCTCTCTACAGTCTTGCAAACACAGCTTGTTCAGGAAACACAATCTTAATGTTTCTTCAATTACTGTTTCAAAAGAACAAATTGATTTCACTCTGAACTCACAAGGGGATTTTCTTTTCGGGAATGGGTAAGATCAATTGGGCAACTTGTTGTTAGCAAGGACTCTTCCACCTAAGTTCGCACTTAAGCTTCCGTTGAACTGAAAAGATTTAAAAAAACTTTTTTGAGTGTTTTAGGTAAAACTTTGAGTAAACATTCTGATTTATAATAGGTAAATATATCCATTATGAATGTGATTCATTATTATAGGTTTAGAAGCAGTTCCAACAAGGTTTATGTGTCTCTCTTCCGAGATGAAGAGCTTACCTTTATGAAAGGTCGCGCCTGCAATATTGGAGTTTAGAAGAATGAGATGTAATCTAAATAAAATATATTTTATCCTTTTAGGGACTGGATAGGGTCAATACCAAGAGAAATGCTCCCTTTTGTAGGGGAGACTCAAACCAGAGGGCATACCTTAAAAATAAAAGGTTTCCCTTTCTGAGACAGATGAGGAGAAATCTCTTTGCCAGAATGTTGTGGATGCTGGGTTTTTCCATTTAATGCAACTTTTTTTTTAACGGGGTGTACACAGACAAAGTGGAGCTGAGACCACAACTTAGATAAGCTATCATTATTGAATGATAGAGTGGGCTTGAAGAAAGAAAAGGTAATTTCCTGTTCCTAAATCTCCATGCTTCTCTGAGAAAAATAGTAATTTTGGCAGTTAGGATCCTAAAATGGATCGGAATTTTGGTGCGTCCATAGAATCAGTGAATGGTGGAAAACGGTAGGAGAATGTTGGAAGGCTAAGATTCCTTTCCTTAGAACACCGGAAGCTGAGGGGTGACTTAATTGTGGAGTACAAAATAATGAGGCACTTGGATAGGTTTTCCCTATTCACGTTATCTCATTGAGCAAACCAGTCAATGACTGGGACACAGATTTAAGGAGATTGCTAGTTCATCTGAGGTGGAAACCCTCCACTCGTATAAAAGGAATCTATACCTGCACCTGAAGTGTTGTAATCTGCAAGGCTACAGACTGGCTGCTGGAAAGTAGGATTAGAATGGGCAATTAATTTATGCACTCAGTGCTGACATACTAGGCTGGTTGATGTCTTTCAGGGTTGTAACCTTTCTACAGTTCTAGCTATTGTTTTGTAATTTTTAATTCTTTGGTAATTCTAAAATTGTAATTCTTAGGTTTTATTGCAAAAGAGTACTGTAAATATTGTTGGCTAATTTTCATCTTTTGAGCCTAGATGTGAAAGGCTGATTTTTAACTTTTGTCTGACGCTGTCAACAATCCTGTGCTGAACCTTTATTCAGAGACTGGTCAGATTTTTAACTACTGGGCCTGTTTGAATACTGCTGGTTAGCTAATCGGCCATCTCCCATGGTGGCTAGGGTGGAGGCAGTGTGTTGGAATTTTCTCTATGGTGTGTGGAGGTTTAGGAGACCGTGGTTCAGTTGCTCACTCATATCAGGAAAAGTAACTGGAGAATAGAATGAATTAGAAAGCCTTTATTGACTTGATGTGCACGTTTCACAGACCTGAGACACAGGCTGATTTGTAAATTTTTTTTCAAAATTCAGGTTGCAGGTATGTGCTTTTGCAATTGTTCTGTGACGTTTGATGTTGGGCTTTGGTACAGTTGTAAAACCTCAGGATATCCTTCAATCCACTGAAATTGGAGTATACTCCAAACATGAAATTTTGTGGTGTTTTTAAATGAATACTTAGAATATAAAATATCCATTGGACAACAATTCTGAAATTTGAATGGAAAACATCTTTTTGTAAATCAGAATTTTCAAAGGAACTGTTTGGACCAAGAGTGTTGTTTGATATTCTGCAGTGAACAAAAATGGTTTTGATGCATGATTTTAATTTGAGCTGTTAATCGGATTTCTGTCTGTCCTGGCTTCACATATTAAAGTGAGGGCTTGTTAAGTGGCTTTTGGTTGTTGTAAAATAATTTGAAGCTGTTGTGTGATCTTTTCAGATGAGGGTAGTATATTGAAAAATTTGAGTCTCCATATACATGCTGACAGTTATTCCTATCTTGTGCAATCAATCTGTCAATGTGTTTACACTTTCTCCATAAGATTATTTTTGGTTCCTTGCTTTAAGAATCACTTTTCTCCAGTTAGGTTTTGTGAAAAAGCAAAAACCAATTGTCTTGTATCTCACCAATACCAAAGCACATTTTTATGATGTGAAAATATTACATAATCAAACACAAGGGAAAAACAAGTGACTTGACCTCATTTAAATCTAAAAGTACTATCTTGTAAAAATTGGTAATTTTATATTAACCACATTTGGTGGTCAGTGAAAATGCAAACAATGAAAGGAAATGCAAAACTACACTGAGAGATGTATTTTGACATTATTTTTTAAAGTGCCATCTGTAACTGAAAGTCAAATTTGTAGTTTGGGATTAAATGTTTATTAAGAATCGTACAATATACAGATAACTCAAATCTGCATCTTCATCTTAAATAAACAATTCAGGCAAGCTTAGAGAAAACTGGGCCATTCATCAGGTTTTTCTGATTTTAAAAATGATTTTGAGGTTAGATGTCTTTGGAGCCATTAGTAAGTTGGTTTGGAAATAAACCTTGTTCCTTAGAGGCATCTTCCCTGTAATGTGTGACTCTTCAGCTCAAGTAGTTCAGTCCTATTTCTGCTTTGTGTGTTTTGTTTTGCTGCCATATCCTCTAAATTTAGAGGTTCCAGAACATGATGTATTAATATATCAATATACCATTGGAATTCAGTGACCCTGAGAGAGAGTATCTTTTGAAAATCAGAATTTCTAAAGATAACCTCATTGTATAAAATGTACTCCTCCTAGACTTTTCCTTTTAAGAATACTCTACTCGCCATGAGCTTTGCCTAGTTTTCTGTTGTTCTAATTAGTTAGATTTACAATTGAACATTTCTGCTACATCAAAGTACATAAATGCTGAAAATAATTACATTTAGTTTGTATCAGATCTAAATTAAATTTTGTATATTAAATTAGCATTTAATTGTGAACCCAACGACTGTTTGCCATCTAGTGGTGATGTGCTATGAAAGCAGATTCAGGAATTTGAACAGTTTGTTTGTTGAGGTTTTCCATTTGATCAATTTCATTTTATAGTCAGATCTTGAATGGTTTGTTCCTTGTGTTAGCTAATATCACCACTGATCAAATGTTAATAGTTGGATCAATATTGAATATAGTGTTTGATTTTTGTCCTTTTAGACATGCCAGTTTGGTGACTCAAGTATTTTATCAAGTTCTCCAGGCATACACAACTCTGCAGGCTTAGCAGTGAAAAAGTCAATAGATGAACGTAACTCATCTCCAGCTCAGCACCACAACAAGGTAGTTTTACTCTCTGATTATTTTAACAATGGCAACTTGTATTTATAGAATAGTTGAATGTACTAAACATCCTGTTCAGGAGTTGTATCGAACACTGGGCCACATAAGGGTATGGAGACAGATTAAAGTGGGTTTTAGGGAGGCTGATAGGTTTAGAGAGGAAATCTCCAGAGCTCAGGAATGACTAGAAGTGCATCTGCCAATGACTGAGCAGAGGAAATAAAGGAAGCACAAGAGGCCACAATTGGAGGAGTGCAAAGATCTTAAGAGTTTATAGGACTAAAGGAAATGGGACGTGATTGAGACCAAAGTGGGATTTGAAAACTTGAATGAGAGTTTAGAATTTGAGACATTGCCAGACTGAGAACCAGTGTAAATCAGCAAGCGCAAGGAAACTGAGAATGGCACTTGATGTGATTTAGGATCAGATATCAGTGGTTTGGATTACCTCAAGTTTATGCAGGGTGTATACCATGGGAGGCTGACCAGATGTGCACTGAAATAGTCAACTGTCAAAATAAGAGGCAGATGAGAATTTTAATAGCCAAAAGCTGTAGAAAAGACCCCATGGATGATAATATGGAAGTAGGCACATTTGGTGATAGAGGGGCATGGAATCAGAAATAGATTAACTTCAGACTGTGTCTGGTTTGTCTCATTTGATGACTATGGAAAAGAAGATGGTCCTGTAGTTAGAGAACAGTGTGTGGTAGGAACCACTGCCTTTGGTCAGTGCTTAATTAAAGGAAACTTCTACTTATCTAATAATTGACCATGAATATGTAAACAAATATTTTAATACTGACTCTTTATTTCCTCTTTTAGCATATTCTTTCAGGCACCAAGCATTTGACGGTAGAGGAGTTATTTGGAGCACCTGTTTCTAAAGAGCACTTAATGAATCCTAACCAAGAAATCTTATTGACATCTCAGCCAGACACCAAATTACGAAGTCAAAACTTAGGTTTGCCATTTGCTTATGAACATGCAACAGAACTTAAGCAATTGGGAAGCCCTGAGAGTCTGAATAACAAAATGAATTTTTCCCGAATTAGCAATTCAAATTACCAAGAAGATGCTGCACAAGTTCTAATGACACCGGCTGCTCTCCAAAAATCTGATGTCAAAACCAATCGTATGTACAATATTTCTGCCAGTCCCCTCTTTCAGTCTTCCCTAAATTTTGAAGCTACTTCTAATCAGAGTGCAGCCACCATCAACACTAATGGCCATAGTCAGAATTTGCAACAAGAAGTCAAAGCAGTATCACCACTGATGATGTGTCCATCTTCTGAAATGACATGCGCTAACCAGAACCTGCCTTCAGGAAGTAATCAGACTCCACAGAGCAGCACTGGTGAAAGAAGCATTTCAGATATTGGATCTCAAGGTCATGAACTGCTTCAGAAACTCAAACTGACACAACAGCATGATCAGCAGCATCAGACTCTCAGCAAACCATCATTAGCGGCAAATTTTTCTCCAATACTTGTTACACCAGAAAGCTTTAAAGAACCAAACATAAGAACCACAGAAACTTCATTACAGGTACAAACTTTTAAAATATCATATACATTTGTCAATCTCCCATGCTACTGCAAACCAGGTATCAAGACTAAGTTCAGTACTGAACTCAAAGGATTAAAGGGTGTGTGGTTAGTTCGATACAGGAGGGCAAGACATTTGGTCAAGATAACTTTCCAACAATCTAGATTATTGCTTTAAGTCATTGGCATAAAAGAAATCAAAATATTTGGATGCACATGTGAAGAAACACCAGTACTCTCCATGTTCAGTGACCCTTTCTCAGTGCAAAATTAGCTAATATTTCTTTTTCTAATCAACAAAGTGGGAAAAGATGTAGGCAGTTAACACTAAGGTTCAGATTGCTGATGCAATAGTGTATGGACACAACAACGAGGATGCCAACTCTGTTTTTATCATCTGCCAAACTCATTATCCTGGAGAGACTTGCCTCTTCTGGAAAAAAAAAAAAATTTGAGACATATCTTGGAAGGGAACCTTTTCATATTATTAAGAAAAAAATCAGCAAAACTTTCAAACCACCTTGCTACCCTTGCAGACACAATATTGAAATAAAATACCTAATGGGAAAGCAAGTAAGGTTCTTATCTCCTCTGTCACCTGACCAATTAACTTAAGAAATTACAGTTAAGATTATGAAGTTAAATATCGTTTAGTTGGATGTGTAACTTGGCAGACACCACAGGGCATGTGATGGGTATAGCTAATTGCCAAAAAATTCTCGTCCAGGATTTATTCTCTGTTACTAATAAGGTAAAATTGGGGAAAATAAAATTTAAGCCCAGCTGCTTTTTCCTTTTTATGATGAAATCCCACCATAATAAATTCAAGTTGTATCTTAGGCTAAAGCTTTAACACTTGCAGTCCTGACTATTGGGAATCAATCAACTATAGTTCCACTGGATCAAGTAAGCAGTCTAGGGTTTGTACTTTCATTGTTTATTCTTTAATTCATTTGTTTGTTGACTAATTTATTTTCTATGGGTGAAGCAACAGAGGAGGATCCATTAAGTATTGTCATTAAAATTTATGCTAAAGTAGAATTTGATTTCTCTTGCTACAATACTTATTTTTTTAAAACATTGTACCAATTATCTAATCATCAAATAGCTGCATCACAAATGGAGTCTTTTTGGCATGTCGAGTCCATGCAGGCTCTCTGCAAGAACAATTTTGCTAGTCACGCTTCACTACCTTTTTACCTTTGTAGCCTTGTAATTTTATTTCTTTCAGGACAATTAACTGGGACCCTTTTTAAAAGCCAATAATTGAATATGATTTTTACCACACTTGCTTGGACAGTGTATTCCAGCTGCTAACTGCCTGTGGTGCTAAAGAAATTTTTCCTGCTATCTCTTCTAATACTTTTGGGTTTAATCTTAAATATGTGCACTCTGGTTCTTCACCCAACTGACAATGGGAAAAGTTTCTCCCAATCTATCTGTGCAAACCGTTTCATAATTTTGAATACCTCTATCAAAATCTCTCAGTCTTCTCTACGGAGCTAGCTCCAGCTTCTCTCATCTAACCTTTGTCATTAAAGTCCCTCATTCCTGGAACCATTCTTGGAAATCATTTCAGCACCCTCTCTGAAGCCTTCTCACTGTAGTACCCAGAATTAGATATATTGCTTCAGTTGAGGCTAAATCACTGTTTTACAAAGTTTCATCTTAACTGTCTTTGTAATGTATGACCCTGCTGCAAAAGCCCAGGATCCCGTATACCTTATTTGCTACTTTCTCAACCTGTACTACCACTGTCACTGATTTCTGTGCACACAACTCCACATCCCTCTGCTCCTGCACCACCTTTAGAATTGGATCTCTTTATTCTTTCTCTCATAATTATAATTTCATTTGCCTAGTGTCTGTCCAGGCACCAGCCTATGTCCTTTTAAATTGTACTTCCATTCATCTAACAGTTCATGATATTTCCAAGTTTTGTCATCCGCAGATTTAAACTACGCCCTGCATACCCAATTCTAGGTCATTCTTGTAGATTAAGAAAACATGTGGTCCAAATTCCAGTCCCTGGGGAATCTTGATATATAACTTCCTCCAGTCCAAAAAAACTTTTCTAATCTTTTTTGTTTCCTGTTACTCAGCTACTTTTGCATCCATATTGCCACATTCCTTTCAACTCCTTGACCTTTGGCTGTGCTAACAAGCAGTTATGTGTCACTTCAAATGCCTTTTGAAAATCCACGTACACGAACAACATCAATTGCATTAACCTCATGGTTTGTTTGTTACTTCAACAAAATTAGTTTAATGTGATTTATCCTTAACGAGTATGTGGTGGATTTCCTTAACTAATCCAGATTTATCCAAATGACAGTCGACTTTTGACCCGGATTATTGTATGCAACATTTTAAATTGGCTTATTGGGCTTTAATTATTGGGCTTATCTTCTTCTTTTTTGAATGACTGTAACATTTACGATTCTCAAATCTGGTTTAGATGATTAAGGCAGTTCCAACGCACTTCAAAAATCATAGCATGATTAGAGAGCACCAGAATGGTTTCACAGAAAAGGGGAATCCTATTTGGACAAATTTTAGATTGTTGAGAATGTATTCAAGGCAATGGACCTAGTGCAGGAAAGTGGGACTGGTGTAGGTAGTAATATATTCTTGCTGGTACAGAATTAATGGGCTGAAGTGTTTCCACTGTGCTGAGAAATCCTTTGATAATCCAGTATGGTAGAAAAAGAAACATTATTACATCCCAACCCTATCAATTTGATTTTTCAAAAATGATGTGATGATGTGCTGCCTGAAAAGTGGGGGAAAAAAAAAAGCTAGTTTTAAAAAGTTGGAATTGGGGGGTAGTGCATTAGCATTATGTAGGAAGATTGGTTAATGAACAAAATGTGGTAGGGATAAATTGTTTTCACATAGTCAGACTGTAATTGTGAAGTGCAGCAAGGATCAGTGCTGGGATCACAGCAATTTACGTAGAACATAGAACATTACAGCGCAGTACAGGCCCTTCGGCCCTCGATGTTGCGCCGACCTGTGAAACCAATCTGAAGCCCATCTAACCTAAACTATTTACAGTCTATTGATAGTGATTCTTATTGAGGAGAATGAAACTAATGTATCTGAGTATGCTAGTATTAAAAAACTAGCTGGGATTGTAAATTGTGAGAAGGACACAGTCTCCAAAAAGTTAAATGGAGTGGCTGGCAAGTATAATATGGGAAAGTGTGAAGTAAGTCACTTTGGTAAGAATAGAAAACACTAATTTTAAAAAAGGCATGAAACATCTCTCCGAACATCAACATTCAGATTTTGGGAATTCTTGCTCCCACAAGGAATGTAATGTTAGCATGTAGCTACAGCAAGCAATTAGGAAGGCATATAGCATGTCGGTCTCTTATTACAAGAGGATGGAATGCCTGAAAAAAGGAAGATACTTTGCATTTCTATAGAGCCCGTGAAAGCACTATACTTCTGCTTTTCTTTTGCTCATTTCACTACTGCTAGACATTTTCAGGTCAATAATACATTTGATCAATGAAGCTATGACCTACAATTACTCACCAGTTTATCTTTCAACTGCTTTTAGTGACGGTGCATTGAATAATAAGATGAAAAAATATATTTCATTTAAACAATGAAATTAAAGAAATATATAGTCACCAATTGTATTTGAGTTAATTTCCGTTTAAGCAAAGAAACCTGATGTAGAGATAGCTCAGGATTCTTGGAACTGGGAAGAACTGTGGGAAGAACTTTTTAATGTATTCTCCCATTATCTGATGGTAACGTGTATCAACATGAGGAAAATAGGGCTGCTTCAAATCTGGTGCTACGCAGTGAATCAATACATGTTGTTCTTTACATAGAAGCATTCAGAGTTTACTGAAATTCCACCTTATTCATCTGTACTTAATGGAGCATTATGGTAACAGTCATTCCTGTACTGTGAAACACGTTGACCTTTTGAAACTTTTGATATTGATGTACTTGGTTATGAAGAAAAAGACATTGTTTTAAATCCCAAATTCCAAGAAATGGGGATTGTTCAATTCTGTAATTGTAATTCAAGAAAAGATGAAGATTTTATTCACTGAGGTCTTTATTACTTTTGTAATGTTATCCTATGTACAGATTGTAGCTTCTGTACAATTTTGTATCATTATGAATTGTCTCCAAAATAAATGCAGTTAGTGGGCTTTCTGCGTGATGAAACAGAAAATGCTTTAAGCAGTACTTGTAGATTTAATCTGTTTATTCCCAAACAATGAAATTGGTTTCTTCATACACACGTTGCCAGACCTGCTGAGTTTTACCAGTAATTTGTTTTTGTACGAAATTTGTTGTTGCCTTTAGAACCCAAAATTTGAAACCCTGCGTTAACTTTATTTTTAAAGCTGTAACTTACAAAAGGTACACGATAAAACATCAGTTGTTGCCATATATTTCATAATTTGTCAATAGAATGAACAAGTATAGAAAAATTTAACAACTCACTTATTCAGATGTTCAGATTTCATAATCCAATTTGAAGAACACTTTTTTTGTTTTTTATATTCAAATATTCTATGATCATTAATGCATTATTTTGCTGCAGTTCATTGTGCATTTTAATCAGAATATTGGTAGGATTTGGGAAAATAGTCGGATCAGTTTTATGCTGACAACAGATGGTTTTACAAGAAATAAATGAAGATACCAATGAGGAAGGCATAGGTTACAGGGTAGAATTTATCTTTTTCAGCTTTGTCAGGCCACAAAATGTACTTAACTTTTGTGTGTTCTTATCTAGGTGGTTCTCACACCAACAACCACTTCCTCAGTTGGTCCATCCATGCTTTTATCTCCCGGTATGTTCAAGCATTCAACGGCAATGATTTCAGAAACTGAAAGGAAATATGGTTCAACTTCCCCTTTAACATTGGCATCGGAGTCTCGATCTTCACCACTACCAACTGTTCTCAGTAAGGCTCAGCTTCAGGAAGCATTAACTCACCTAATAAAGGTAATAAGCTTTTATATGACACACTATCGTCAACAGGTAGACATTTCTTATGATAAGTAGGTAGTATCTGGTTTCTCTGTTCCTGTCATTTGTCTGTCTATCTATCTGCTGTAAACCTTAACAGGAATGTGCCACACACGATGAAGAGATCAAACAAAAAAAAAGACACTTTAAGATTTGCACGTGAGGGCAATGTGGCAATTTAAGAACCTGTACAGTACAAGAAATAGGTTGTATACAATGCAGGGAAATTAAAAGGAACATTGGTGGGTGGAAAGACCAATGTGACATACAGTTCCGCAATTGTGATTATAGAAAAGCCAAATAAAATCTTACCTGGTTTATTTATAAAAATAATATTCTAGGCATATTCTGTGGTTTGTCTAATTTAGCTATGCCATGTAATACAATTTATCTTAGCACAAACTCAGTGGGCTGAGTAGCCTCCATCTGGGCTGCAAGTATTCTATTATTCCTTTTTAGTAACAGGCATTACGTTGCTTCTGCTTTATGCTCACTCCAAGATCAACTCACTTGTCACCATATGTTATGAAGCAGTGTTGTGTTGCTGGCAAATACACAGCACCATACATTTCATTTTAATGCCTCCAAATTCATGTTGCTTAAGATTTTGTACTGTTTATGGCACCATTGTGTAAAATTCAAATATTATTTGTTATCCAAATTGTGTTTGATATTGTGTGCCCTTCACACAAACTTTGCCATTGGCAATTTACACAACGATTGTGAGAAACAGGATTGCCCAAATCGACAAGTCTGTGCTGCAATACTCTCCCAACTCGTATTCTTTTCTTTTCATTCCAAGTTGCTGGCCAAGTTAAAAGTAGAAAAGCCTGAGGTAGTTTGAATGTGGTGTTGTCCATAGAAACCATGACTTTTGAATATCCTGGAAAAAAAACTTTTTTTTTTTTTTTTGTAGACTTCTTCAAACTGCCTGGGATCACGATTTAATATGACAGTCTCTCCAAACTTCAGCAACACTTGGTTATTCTCTAATTCAGAAGAACACACTTGGAACTATGATAAAAATTATTCAGTTGATCAAACTTCCTGCTTTTACAAATTGTGTATTATAAATGTTATAGCACTTATCTCACTTAACAGACCAAAATGCAAATGTTGAATGTCACATCAAAAGAATCCATGAGAATGAGTTTCAACGGTTAATGTGCCATTCACCAATGTTCCCTCTAAGCTGCATGGGCACGTAACAGCTCAGAGTATCTACACACACTGATGTGTCAACCTTTTGACTTCCCATTCTGGAAGCCACTGCTGTGAATAGACCTCTAAGGTCCACATGGTAGCAAGCAACATTAATGGGAGTACAGATCTTCACTACTCTTATTTTCTTTGCTTCCCATTTTTCACCACAAGGACGATCACAAATCTTCCTGCACTGAAAAATCAATCACCAAGATTTGCATGAAAGGCATCATTAAAAAAGATTAATGTTATCTTATTGAAATCGCTCAAAACTGCAGCATACACTTTATATTTTCAAGCTTCTTATCAAGTTTTATTTGCTCTCCAGATGTCCTCTGTGGCCAGGCTAAGCTCCAGCATATGAAAAATTTGCTTCTGATGTCTGTGTGCATTAGCCATTTAAGTTGTTTAAGAATCCTCAGCTGTTCCATCTTATCCTTGGTAGCAGCCTCATTGTTCTGTCCAAATCTGGAACATCTAATTACAAGATAATTGACATCCCCCAAAAAAGACCTCTGTAATAGAATTGCAATTCTGCTAATTTCTAGGGCCATATTTGAAAGCTCCAGAAGCTTAACAGCCAATTTTGAATTCCTTCCCAAATTGACACAGAATCTTTTTTTCAAAGATGCTGGTGCCCTGCATCAATTTGCTCTCAATGTTAGCTTGCTGTCTCTCCATGGATGCTGCCTGACCTGCTGTGATTTCCAGCATTTTTGTTTTTCTTTGCAGAGGCTGGAACTTGTACTGAAGTCATTTGCTCCTATATGGGATGTATTGACTGGGTTGGATTTGTTCTTTTTGTTTACAGGATGTGTCTCAGCAATTTTGCACATGCATGTAGATTCTAGTGTTGTAGCTGTACTGTAACAGTTTGGCAAGGGCACAGCAAGTTCTGCAGCACAAGTCTTCAGTACAATTGTTGGAATAGTGTCAGGGCCCATAGTCTGTGATATTCAGTGCTTGCATTTGTTTCTTAGTATAACTTATGGAGAATTGGTGAAGACTTACAAAAATAAGAGGAAAAGTGGCTCAACTACAGCTTACAAAAGAAATTGGGGATAGTATTAGATGCAAAGAGGAGATATACAAAACTGCCAAAAATAAAGCAGCAAGTGCAAGGATTGGGAGTTTTTTTTTCCTTTTGCAGTTCCGCAAGAGAGGATCAAAAGAGGGAAAATATGATATTACAGTAAAATTTCAGGGAATGTAACTGACTGTAAAAGCTTGATATAATACAGCACAGGAACAGGTCATGTGGTTGACCACGATGCCATTCTAAACTAAACCCATCTGCTAACACATGGTGCATATCTCTGTCCCTTTTCGTGCCTGGCTAGGTGCTGCTTAAATCTTGCTCTTGTCTCTGCTTCTACCACTTGCCTTGGCACCTACCACCCTCTGCTTTCTTTTAAAAAAAAACTTGCCTCACTTTTAAACTTTCCCCTTTCACATTAAACCTTTTCTGATGAAGGGTCTAGGCCCAAAACGTCAGCTTTCGTGCTCCTCTGATGCTGCTTGGCCTGCTGTGTTCATCCAGCTCTACACCTTGTTATCTCAGATTCTCCAGCATCTGCAGTTCCTACTATCTCCCCCCACTAGTTTTTGATATTTCAATGGGAAAAAGACTCCAATAATCCATGCTATCCATTCTTATAATTTTATATACTTCTGACAGACCTTATCACCTAATCTTACCACCATCCATGTCCTTTTCCTTGGTGAATGCTGATGCAAAGTACTCATTTAAGGACCTTGCCCACTTCCTCTAGCTCCATGCATAAATTCCTTCTCTTGTCCTCGAGTGGACCTACTCTTTCCCTAACAACCCTCTTGCTCCTAATATGTATAAAATATTTTGGGGTTCTCATTATTTGCCAAGGAGATTTTCATGGCTCCTTCCAGCCCTCCTCCTAACTTAAGTTCTTTCTGCTTCCCTTATACTCCTCCACGGGCCTCTTAGAGTCATACAGCATGGAAACAGACGCTTCTGTCCAACTCATTTGCACTGACCAGACATCCCATTCTAACCTAGCCCCATTTGCTAGTATTTGGCCCATATCCCTCTAAACCCTTCCTATTCATATACCCGTCCAGATGCCTTTTAAATCTTGTAATTGTACCAGCCTCCACCACTTCCTCTGGCAGCTCATTCTGTAAATGCACCACCATCTGCATGAAAAAGTTATCCCTTAGGTCCTTATTAAATCTTTCCCCCTCTCACCTTAAAAGTATGTCCTTTAAGGTCACCCCTCAGCCTCTGTCGCTTCAGGGAATAAAAGCCCCAGCCTATTCAGCCTTTCCCTATAACTGTCACCCTCCAGTTCCAGCAACATCCTTGTAAATCTTTTCTGCTCTCTTTCAAGTTTAACAACATCCTTTCTACAGAACGGCAACCAGAATTGTGCACGGTATTTTAAAAGTGGCCTCAACAATGTCCTGTACAGCCACAACATGACATCCCAACTCCTATACTCAATGACCTGACCAATGAAGGCAAGTGTGCCAAATGCTGCCTTTACCACCCTGTCTTGGCCTTATTTGATTTCAGTTTCCTAAATCTTACATATGCTTTTTCTTTGACTAACCATTCAATTTCACTTGTCATCCAAGGTTCCCGAATCTTGCCATTCTTCTCAGTACGTTTGCATTGGAACATGCTGGTCCTGAATTCTGATCAACTGGCCATTAGAAGACTCTGTCAGATGTGGCTTTACCCTCAAACAGCCATCCCCAATCTGATTTTCTCCGGTTCTTGCCTAATATTATTATGATTAGTCTTCCCCTAATTTTGTACTTTTACCCGAGGGCCGGTCTTATCCATAACTAACTTAAAACTTGCAGAATAATGATCACACTTCCCAAAATGATCCTCCACTGCTACTTTGATCACCTGACTAGGCTTATATCCTAATGCAAAGTCTGGTATGGCCTTTTCCCTTGTTGGACTATCTACACAATTTTTCAAGAAACCCTCCTGGATGGACCTACCAAATTCTGCCTCATTTAAACCTCTGGGACTAAGGGAGTCCTAGTCACTATTGGGGAAGTTAAAATCCCCAACTACAACAGCTCTGGTGTTTTTACATATTTCCATGATCTGCTTGTATGTCTGTTCCTGTATCTCCTGATGCCTATTGGAAGGCCAATAGTACAACCCCATCATACCGATTTGAACCTTTCATATTTCTACCCATATGGCTTTTCTGGATGAGCCCTCCAAAATGTACACTCAATACAACTATGACATTCTCTTTAATCAGTAAAGTAGCTTCACCCACCCCTTTTTTTTTTTTTAACACCCCTCTCTATCTCTCCTAAAATATCCAAACCCTGGAATCAACTCCCAGTCCTACCCTTCTCTGAGCCAGGTTTTTGTAATGGCTACAACATTGTAGTGTTATGACTAATCTGGACTCTGAGCTCATCTGCCTTAACTGTTATATTCCTTGCATTAAAATTAAATACACTTCAAACCACCAGTTCCACTACGTTTTTACTATTGTTCCTCCTATTAGACGTCCTGATTTAATGGGGATCTTTTTCATTACTCCATGTGCTGACCTGTTGCTCTGTTTCCCAAACCTTGCCACAGTAATTTAAATCCTTCCAAGAGGCACTAGCAAACTTCTGTTAGGATATTGGTGCCCTCCAGTTTAGGTGCAATCCTTCCTCCTTTGTACAGGTCCCATCTTCCCTGGAAGAGATCCCAATGATCCAGACTAAAGCCCTCCCTCCTAAACCAGCTCTTTAGCTAATGCAACTGTATCCTCTTTCTATTTCTGGCTTCACTAGCCTGTGGCACAGGGTGTAAATCCTACGATTACAGGGGTAGGAAGTTGCAAAGCAGGAGATCTACCTTACTTGCTAAATGCCCTTTACAGGACCTTCCCTCTCCCTTCCTATGTTGCTAGTACCAATATGGACCGTGACCTCCGGCTACTCACCTTCCTATTTCAGAATATTCTGTAAAAATGTGAAAAAAATTACTAAAGACAAATGTACATTCCTTCCAGTCAGAAGGTGGGGAAATTAATAATTAGGAACAAAGAAATGGCAAATAGTAGAAACATTGAACACCATTCTGTCTTTGCAAAAGAGGGCACAAATAAGCTTGTGGAAATATTAGGGAGCCAAGGTTTGAGTGAGATGGCTGATTTGAAGGAAATCAGCATTGAGCATTTTCACATGAGTATGACTGGACAACAGCTGCTTTTTCTTTGTTGTTGTTGTTGTTGTTGTTGTTGTTGTTGTTCAGCCTGTTCAGACATTTTATGACACCTCTGGGGCAGGTGGGATTTGAACCCAGCCTCTGGCTCAGAGGTACAGACCACTACACCATAACAGCCAAAGAACTCAGCTTTTTTTTCAAAGTTTAAGAACCTATCACCGAACAAATCATTTAACAAAAAACTAGGGAGCGGACTGAGAACACAGCTGCTTGTTATTTTGAAAAACCCACCACCACATCATCCAATAAGAATGTACTATTTTTTTTTCATAATACCACTGCCAAATCAGCTGTGTCTCAGTTTAAGAACTCCATTTTTTTTTCCCTTTTTGTTTTAATTTTTTTCTATCCAGAAATACTATTACAAAATGTCTGAAAGTCTGTGATTTTTGTAGTGGTTTAAGAGGTGTTACTAATTAAAAGAACAATTTACAAGCATAGGCCATTGGTAGTACAAAGATAACAGAAGTAAGGAAAAGGTAGAGAGAGGAGGAGAGGACTAAATGAAAGCATTCCAGCCTCTCTGATGCCCGCTTCTGTCTAAACACCAGATTATTGTTGGGCACTGCATGCTGCCTCTCCAAGAATGCCTGGGCACGAATATAGCTGCAGAAGAGGGGCAGGATGTCAGGTAGAATGTCCCCTCCATTGCCTGCTGCTTGGGTCTATGAAGCGTCACCTTGGCCAGACCCATGAGAAGTCCTCTGCAGAGGTCTCTCCACACAGGGTGCCAAAGATCAGGAGCGTGGGGCAGAAGTGCAATCAAAAGAAGAAAAGGAAGATGCAGCTGTCATAAGAACATACACATGGGTTCACAGACTCCACGGCACCACAAAATAAATAGTTGGGCTGACAGTCCATG